CACACACACACACACACACACACACACACACACACACACACACACACACACAGAGCTCTTGAGATACGGGGGTCGCGTTAGGTGTGACACTTCCCTCCCCGTCCCCTGTTCAATCTCGCACGTCTGGTTTCCCATGTCAAGACCCAGGTAATCCTCCCCCCATTGTCAAAACCTCAACCTCGGTATTGTCCTTCCGTCCCCACGCTTACACCCCCTTCCCAAACCCCCAACACTCACAATTTCATACCTTAAACCCCCAAAACTCACAATTTCATACCTTAGTTTCCCATTCAAAACCCCGGTAGAAAGGTTGACCGTAGTATCGGAAAGGTAGCGGAAGGGACGGCGCTGGGGGGTTGAGCCTCGCGACCGGGTTTGGATGAAGCGACCAGATCTCTGAATCCTTGTCATGAAACCTGTACCCTTGCGCCGTAATCGCCGGGGTGGAGGATCGATCCGCATGTGGATATACTCGTAGTCCACATGTCGGTTTATTCTCTTCCACTTCTTCATTCATGGGGGGCTGCGCTCCGTCATTTTGGCCAGAAGATGAGGCAAACACTGCTCTTGCTGTTATTCCCAGTCCCGTCGGTGACAATGGCACTGCTTCTGCTGCTGGTATCTCTGACAAGGAGGACAGAGATGATGATGACGATGAGGATGATGATGATGAGGATGATGATGATGAAGAGGAGGAGGAGGAAGATGTTGACGAGCCTTCAGTCGGCAGCAACACCGAGGATGAAGATGAGGAAGAAGACCTTGCAACGATCTTTGCGGTTGATGACGAGATCCTCGTTTCTGCATGGCTATGGTGGCTCAGCGTGGCTTTGCGGTCGCTAGATAGCCATGGCCATGGCCATGGCCATTGGTTATGGTTTAGACCGCAGGAAGACATTGCGTTTCTGGATGGCTATCGCGACTCTTGCAATCTTCCCGAGGAGAATTCACTCGAGTCGTAGAGGAGTAAGCGATCATACGTAGAGTTCTCACCCTCGAGCACAGCTTCCACAGTACAGTTGTTATGTGAGCCGTCTCGTGCGTGCCTGCCTCCAACCTGCTTGGCAATCGCGCTGCTCGCTACAGAAAAATCGAGCAAGCTTCTGAGATAGAGTTGTCATGTGAAGCCGTAATGGCGGGTGTGCATCTTGGATCATTTCCTGAAAGGCAAAAGCCAAAGAAGGAAAACAAAAGAATCATGCGTCAGACTCACTTTGTTGACAGTGCAATAATCTCTCTCTCTCTCTCTCTCTCTCTCTCTCTCTCTCTCTCTCTCTCTCTCTCTCTCTCTCTCTCTCTCTCT